AGTTTTCAAACTTGGATCTGTTGAAAATAAGGTCATGAACTTCGGAGCTGTTTTGAGGATTCTATTGAGCCATTTTTCAGAAGAGCACCGTTCATTGGATGTTTTCTAAGCGTCTTGAGATGGAGCTCAACCGCTGAAACCCGACCACTAAATTTTGAAAAGTCCAAAAAAAAAAAAGGTTTTGACTCGAATCGGTACTTCATTCTTTCATAGATTTTTTTCCAGATGAAAGTCCCAAATCGATATCAAGTTCTGAGATCGACTTCGTTGTGTACCATTTGAAAAAAGGTATCAAATATGTTTATATTTCAAACATTTATTCATTTAATTTTTCAGAGCCTTCTTCGTGATCTTCAAATAAATGTTCTGATGCCTGAATCATCTTGAATTTGTCTCCTTCGAAGTCGATTTATCTATCGAAAAAGGTATTACAGTTGTGTCTACGGTGAATAATCAAAATTTTTCAATTTTCATGTCATCTACTCTTCGAGGACCTTCCGATTCATGGCGTGAAGTTCTTCCTCAACCAACTTCTTGCGATGTTGGCTTCGCTTATCTGTACGCTTCTTTTTTGTATTATCGACAGTTTGAATCTAAAACCCTAAAAGAGCCTGAGAAAAAAATGTGAATTCAATAGATGATCCGCTAAAAAATCGGTCGATTCAATTTCAGATACTTTCGAATCAAACATTTTTTAGAATTTCAAAAGGGACTTGAATATTTTGATTGCATTCCCATTGCGTGGTGGGAATCTTTCCGAATTGTTTCACACCACGTGGAACATTTTCCCTCTTAAGAACGGGATTCTTTCAGCTCGTACGTTTTTGAAGCTACAAATCATTTTTCCTCAAACATTTTCAAAACGTTTTTTTCGGTATCATTTTGAATTCGAATTAACTATTCAGAAAACTTTTTTCGAAAGGTTATGCTAATAGAATTAATATATTTCTTTATTTTAATTCAAAACACTACTGTAAAAAATCGGTCCTGTTTTTGTTTTGTTTGATGGAATCGGTCCTGTTTTTGTTTTGTTTGATGGAATCGGTCCTGTTTTTGTTTTGTTTGATGGAATCGGTCCTGTTTTTGTTTTGTTTGATGCCAAAAAGTTCTAGATTTTCTGCATCTGCCAAGCTCATGACTGCGAACTCACTTTCTTCGAATTCTTGTCCTATGTTTCTGTTCATCTCCCAATAGAGACACTCTACTAGCAAGTTCGCATTCGTGGTTATGACAGAGCGCAACCTCGGCAGTTCTTAAAGCTGTAGTTTTACTCTGTCATGATCATGGTGGCGACACCATTTTTTCGACTTCTTTTTCATTTTTTCTGTCCATCCTGACTTTATCCATCTGAAGATACTCTACTAGCAATGTCGCCATCGTGGTTATGACAGAGTGCGACATCTGCAAGTTTTGAAGCTTATGTAATCCTCTGTCATGATCATGGTGGCGACACCATTTTTTTTCGACTTCTCTCTCTTTTTTTTCTGTCCATCCTGACTTTATCTCTCTGAAGATACTCTACTAGCAACGTCGCCATCGTGGTTATGACAGAGTGCGACCCCCGCAGGTTCTGCAGCAGAGGTCACTTTCTGTCATGCCCATGGTGGCGACACCATTTTCCTCGGTTTCTTGTCCTATTATTCTGTATTTGTATCCATTTGGAGCTCCTTCACTAGCAACGTCGCCATCGTGGTTATGACAGAGTGCGATATCTGCAAATTTTGAAGCTTATGTAGTCCTCGGTCATGATCATGGTGGCGACACCATTTTTTTCGACTTCTTTCCTTTTTTTTCTGTCCATCCTGACTTTATGCCTCTGAAGACACTCTACTAGCAATGTCGCCATCATGGTTATGACAGAGTGCGACATCTGCAAGTTTTGAAGCTGATATAACTCTCTGTCATGATCATGGTGGCGACATAATTTTTCTTGAATTCCCGTCTTTTTTTTTCTTTTTCTCCTTTCCAAAAGCTCGTCTTTCTGGTTGTGGTGAATAATTAAGAATGAGACCTCAAAACTGCTGTATTCTGAACTATTTGCGTTTATAATCGAAGCGGTTGATTGTCTTCATGGCTATGGCAATCAAAAGTACCTGCTAAATCCACAGCTGGTCTTTTTCGTTTGTCATGGTCACGGCGGCAATATCATTTGAGCTCGTCTCCTTATTTCTGCTGATATAGTCAAAACTATGCTCTGCTGACTGGTTTTCGTCTTATTTTTCTGTTTCATCAAAACATTATCGTCGCTAAATAAGCACCCGGGGTCGTCTCTTCCATGGCTATTTCTGCAAACTTTTTCGAACTCGTCTCCTGATCCTTCTGCTGGCTTATTCAGAAGTATTCGCTGCTGATTATTTTCCTTACAACTTCTTCGAAAAGTGACCCCTGGACAAAGCAATAAAAAAAGGGAGTCTGATTTAAATGTGCCTTTTGAGAACTTTTTTTCCAGGATCTCTGTGAGTCATATCGAATCTTCTCCCTGCACCTGGAGCACTAGAATGAAGGGAGTATCAATAATTTTAGTTGAACCGAAATCAATAGTTTTTCAGTTATTCCGCTAGATGAGTTGTTCGCTGCTAACGGATTCATACGGATTATTCAGAATTCTTCGCTGCTGTTGAGTATCTGGAGACTTTTACGAACATCAACAAGCCAAAGAAAGAAGGGAGTTCAATCCAGTTACGTTTAGAATGATAAGTTTCTTTTCAGCCTCTTTCGGAACGAGTAACTTCACTCTCCTTCCTGGTGCATCATGAACAAGGGAAAAGTAAGTTTTATCAACTTCAAACTGATTGAAACTCAATTTTTTCAGAAATTCTATAGGACGCCTCTGCTAACCAGACGTTTCAAAATGAAATAAGGGAGTTCGAATAGCTTGACATTTTTTAAAACTGTTTTCTGTTCAGGGCTGCCCTTCCCTACTTGCCACCAATGGTCTATCGCTTCGAGGACGGTAGGAAGTTTTGCATGTCTGTATCTTTCCAGTTTATCGCACCTTTGCATGTCACTTCTTTATTCCTTTGCTTGTCCGATGTCCTTGTCTGGGTTACACTAATACCAAGTTTAAGCTTGCCATGGTCATCGGACAAGTGCGGAAATTTTTTTTACCATAGTCAGTGAGACTTTTGGTGTATCACTCCTTCCTATTTTGATTTGAGCTATTCAGAGTTCATTGCCATCTGTGGACAATGAATAAGCCTGTTTCCCAAAATCACAACGAGTTCATCTGCCAATCTTCCCTGATTTGTTCGCTTGCCTGAGTTTATAGATCTTTAAAAACGAAGAAAACGTTCTGAAGCTCTATAAATTTGGACGAGCTTGCAAAGCATTTGTCGTCAATATTTTTGCTATAATTCATATTCCTGCTGATTATTATCTGCTGACTCCTTCAGATAGTGACGCCTTCAAAACTGGAAAAAAAGGAGGGATAATCTGTGCAGTCAGATAAAATTTCATCATTTTTCAGACTCATCAAGGACGACGGGTTGTTAGGCTTCTGCATAAGTAATTTCTCAGTCTTCACATTTTCAAGTCTTCAAAGTTGAAAGGTCAAGATATACATGATTACGGCAACTCATTCCTGTTTTCAGAAAAAGTTGCACTATGTTCCAAGCGACAGGAGCCAGGAAGAGAACTTTCATTGCAAAAGGAAGTATCACTTTCTCAACTCTCATCTAACTTAAGATTTTCAGGAATTCGGTGAAGCGAAACCAACTTCGCTAGTGTGAAGTCATCTATCACGCGCTGGTCCGAACTTACGGCTTTGAGTAAACTGTTGAATAGTTTTACCCGTAGCCCTAAGTTTGGACGAGCAACTGATTTTTTTTTCTTATCGAAGATCTACGAAGAAATACTTCATAACTGCTGCGGAAAAGTTGAGTTTGAATGAGTGAAAACCGATAATATCTATCTTCTTTCAGAATCTTCCTGAAGCCCCACTGAGATGACGATGAATTTTGCCGTCATATGTACAGTACTTCTTTGAAAAAGGGAGTTTCAACGAGGAAATTTTAACTAAAAATATTTTTTCAGTGTTAACCGGAAATGACATAGGGATGGCGACGAAGTCCTTCTGGCCCCTTTTTTATCTCCTTGCTCATCTGGGTCTGCCTTCTTGAGCGAACTTATCACCAAGTTGGCAACAGATGGCTGGCCTAGACGACCTTGTTGAGCTCTTTTCCCATTTTTCCCGAAAACCGTCAAATGAAGTCAACCCGTTCACAGTTTCGATTTTGAAAAGGGAGTTTTAATGGATGAAAAAAGATAATAACTATTTCTTTTTTCAGAAACTTCATCGAGCCTGACTGAGATGGCGATGAAGTTGCGTCTGATGAAAACTTGCTCCTCGTATTTTCTATTCTTCTCATCGGAGTTTCTGAACTCTTTTTTCAACTGCTTCTTCGACTGCTGATATGTATTCATAATTCTGCTGATTATTATCTGCTGATCCCGTCAGGCTACCTTTTTTGATCCCGGAATTCCCCCGCTTGTCTGAGCTTAGAGTGGCGGTAAAACTAAATCTAAGTTTTAACGCCAACTCTAAGTTTGGACAAGCGCTTGAGAGACGACAAAGACCACAGTTGGACGTAGGAAAAGGGAGTATCACTTTCTCAACTCTCACCAAACTCAAGTTTTTCAGGAATTCGGTCGAGCGAACCCAACTTCGCTAGTGTGAAGTCATCTATCACGCGCTGGTCCGAGCTTACGGCTTTGAGTAAACTGTTGAATAGTTTTACCCGTAGCCCTAAGTTTGGACGAGCAACTGATTTTTTTTTTATCGAAGATCTACGAAGAAATACTTCATAACTGCTGCGGAAAAGTTGAGTTTGAATGAGTGAAAACCGATAATATCTATCTTCTTTCAGAATCTTCCTGAAGCCCCACTGAGATGACGATGAATTTTGCCGTCATATGTACAGTACTTCTTTGAAAAAGGGAGTTTCAACGAGGAAATTCTAACTAAACATATTTTTTCAGTGTTAACCGAAAATGGCATAGAGATGGCGACGAAGTCCTTCTGGTCCCTTTTTTATCTCCTTGCTCATCTGGGTCTGCCTTCTTTAGCGAACTTATCACCAAGTTGGCAATAGATGGCTGGCCTAGACGACCTTGTTGAGCTCTTTTTCCCATTTTTCCCGAAAACCGTCAAATGAAGTCAACCCGTTCACAGTTTCGATTTTGAAAAGGGAGTTTTAATGAATGAAAACAGATAATAACTATTTATTTTTTCAGAAACTTCATCGAGCCTGACTGAGATGGCGATGAAGTTGCGTCTGATGAAAACTTGCTCCTCGTATTTTCTATTCTTCTCATCGGAGTTTCTGAACTCTTTTTTCAACTGCTTCTTCGACTGCTGATACCTCGCTCATCTGGGGCTGCCTTCTTGAGCGAACTTATCACCAAGTTGGCAACAGATGGCAGTCCTCGACGACCTTGTTGAGCTCTTTTTCGCGTTTTTGACTGATAACCATCAAACGAAGTCAGCCCGTTCGATTTCTAAAAGGGAGTTCCAATGAGGGAAGACCAAAAAAAACCATTTCTTTTTTCAGAACCTTCATCGAACCTGGCTAAGAAGACGATGAAGTTGCGTCTCAGGAAAAACTGCATCTCGTTGTTTTCTATTCTTCTCATCGGAGTTTCTGAACTCTTTTTTCAACTGCTTCTTCGACTGCTGATATGTATTCATAATTCTGCTGATTATTATCTGCTGATCCCGTCAGGCTACCTTTTTTGATCCCGGAATACCCCCGCTTGTCTGAGCTTAGTGTGGCGGTAAAACTAAATCTATGTTTTAAAGCCTATTCTAAGTTTGGACAAGCGCTTGACAGACGACGAAGACCAAGATAGACATTAGAAAAAGGGAGTATCACTTTTTAAACTCTCATAAAACTCAATATTTTCCAGGAATCACGCGGAACCAAATCAACTTCACTTGCTTCGCAACTCCTATCACGCGCTGGTCCGAGCTTACGGCTTTGAGTAAACTGTTGAATAGTTTTACCCGTTGCCCTAAGTTTGGACGAGCGGTTGATTATTTTTTCATCGAGATTCTACGGAGAAAAATTGATTTCACAAAAATCATCATACCAAGATAGATCGTCGAACCGTACTGATACCAGAAGAAGGGAGTTTCGAAAAGTGAACACTGATGGAAACTTCTTTACAGGATGTTCATGAAGCAACATTGAGACGATTATGAAGTTGCCTCAGCCAAAAAATCAAAAAAAAACCGTTCCGTTTCCTCAAAAGGAGAGATTCAATGAATGCAAACTAATAAAAAAAAAATTATTTCCAGGAAGCTATTATGAGGTCGACAAAGCTGCCACCTTCCTTCCTGTCACTTTTTCGTCTCCTCGCTCATCTGGGGCTGCCTTCTTGAGCGAACTTATCACCAAGTTGGCAACAGATGGCAGTCCTCGACGACCTTGTTGAGCTCTTTTTCGCGTTTTTGACTGATAACCATCAAACGAAGTCAGCCCGTTCGATTTCTAAAAGGGAGTTCCAATGAGGGAAGACCAAAAAAACCATTTCTTTTTTCAGAACCTTCATCGAACCTGGCTAAGAAGACGATGAAGTTGCGTCTCAGGAAAAACTGCATCTCGTTGTATTCTATTATTCGTATCGGAGTTTCTGAACTCTTTTTCTCAACTGCTTCTTCGGCTGCTGATGTGTATTCGTAATTCTGCTGATTATTATCTGCTGATCACGTCAGGCTACCTTTTTTGCTCCCGGAATATGCCCGCTTGTCTGAGCTTAGTGTGGCGGTAAAACTAAATCTATGTTTTAAAGCCTATTCTAAGTTTGGACAAGCGCTTGACAGACGACGAAGACCAAGTTGGACGTTAGAAAAAGGGGGTATCATTTTCTCAACTCTCATAAAACTCAATATTTTTCAGGAAAAACGTGGAACAAAACCAACTTCGCTTGCTTCGCAACTCCTATCACGCGCTGGTCCGAGCTTACGGCTATGAGTAAACTGTTGAATAGTTTTACCCCTAGCCTTAGGTTTGGACGAGCGGTTGATCATTTTTTCATCTGGGATCTACAAAGAGAGGGTTCATCACTGCTGCAAAAAAGGGAGTTAAAAAATTAAGGCTGATTGAAACACAATTTTTTTCAGGAAATCTGTGAATCTGAGAAGCTTGTGACCTTTTCCATTGTATGTTCAACAATAGGAAAAATTGGATCACGGAGGACTCAATACTGGAAAAGACTTCCTTCGAAATTTCGCATTGTTTCAAAGTCATTATCATCAAAAATCTTCATGGAGCCTCCATGAGACGACTATGAAGTTGCTGCCGCCCAAAAATTAAAAAAAAAAACACCGTTTCGATTTCAGAAAAGGAAAGATTGAGTGCAGACAAAAAAAATCTTTTTCAGGAAACATTGAAATGGCGAAGACGCTGCTACCTTACATATTGTCAAATGTTCATCTCCTTGCTCATCTGAGTCAGCCTTCTTGCTTCAACTTATCAACAAGTTGAAAAAGTAAGCTGGCTCCGACGAGCTTGTTGAATTTTTTCCCTTTTTCGCTGAGACCATCAACGAAGACAACCCGTTACATGTTTTCGGTTTGAAAAAGGGAGTTCTGATAAGTGAAGACCGAAGATAACTATTTCTTTTTTCAGAAACTTCATCGAGCCTGACTGAGATGGCGATGAAGTTGCGTCTAATGACAACCTGCTTCTCGTATTTTTTATTCTTCTCATCGGAGTTTCTGAACTCTTTTTCTCACTGCTTCTTCGGCTGCTGATGTGTATTCGTAATTCTGCTGATTATTGTCTGCTGACCACGTCAGGCTACCTTTTTTGATCCCGGAATTCCCCCGCTTGTCTGAGCTTAGAGTGGCGGTAAAACTAAATCTAAGTTTTAACGCCAACTCTAAGTTTGGACAAGCGCTTGACAGACGACAAAGACCACAGTTGGGCGTAGGAAAAGGAAGTATCACTTTCTCAACTCTCATCTAACTTAAGATTTTCAGGAATTCGGTCGAGCGAACCCAACTTCGCTAGTGTGAAATCATCTATCACGCGCTGGTCCGAGCTTACGGCTTTGAGTAAACTGTTGAATAGTTTAACCGTAGCCCTAAGTTCGGACGAGCAATTGATGTTTTTCATCGGGATTCTGCGAAAAAAGACTTCATCACTACTGCAAAAAAAAGTGAAAAAAAATTCAGACTGATCCAAACATACATTTTTTCCAGGAAATATTTGGAACAACATATCGTGCTAATTTTCGATTTACATCGATGAGCTGTTCATGTTTTCGGGCTTGAAGCAAACTGGAGACTATAGACATTGGTTTCGACGACTACGTTCAAAATAGAACAAAGAGAGTTACATTCAAATGAGGATGAACACATGTTTGAAACTTCAGGGATTCCGCGAAACCAGAACGCTCCAGGCTCTTCACCTATCCCAGTTCATCTGCATATTCAAGCCCACTGTCTCTTTTGAAGCACATAAAAATTTTAGAAGGGGCAATACATTCAGACAATCTTGTGACCATTCTCATTGAACCTCCGACAATAGGAAAATTTGAGCTACAGAGTTTTCTATACTGCAAAAAAGACAGCTTTTTCAACATTTTGTGTTATTTCAAAATATCCTTTTTCTATTATATCTGCTGATTATTCCTAGAGCTCACGATACCTGACAGTAAACCTTTTTACGTCAAATTGACGCGCTTGTCCGAGTTTATTGCGTTGGCCAAACTAAATATGAGCTTTGGCTAACACCTTAAGCTTGGACGAGCCCATTTGCTCTGGACAGACGAAGACGATTGGAGATCAAAAAGGGAAGTATCTCCCGTGAAAATATCGATAGGTTTTTGATTTCAGGACCATCGAAGAACCAACCTTCCAGTCGTTTCATTTGAGTTATAATGGGTAAAAACCGATGTCAACTCTTATTCCCTTTGACGATTTTCAGGGATCCACAGTGAGATGTCGACAGAGCTGCCACCATGGAATTTTACTTGATTCACTTCCCCATCTTCTTGCTCATCAGAGTTCATCGTTTTGGTTAAACACTTTTACGAGTTTACACTGGATCATGTGCTTTGACGAGCTAATGAAAACTGATGAAAAATTTTTTTCCAGAATCTTTCTGGAGTCACAGTGAAACGACTATGAAGCTGTTGTCGCTGAAAAAACAATAACACCGTTTAGTTTTCTGGCAAGGGAAGTTTAAGAGAGGAAACACTAATGAACACTTCTATTTTCAGGGATTTTGTCCAAGTTAGAAGGCGACGACGCTGATGCCTCCCTGTCAAATTTTCTCCCTACTCGCCTGGGTCTGCCTTCTTGAGCGAACTTATCATCAAGTTTGCAAGCAAATGAGAGGCTTAGATTTGTTGAGCTCTTTCCGTGAAGCCAACCCGTTTCACAGTTTCGATTTTGAAAAGGGAGTCTTAAAAAGTTAACCCAACGATAACAATTTATTCTTTCAGAATCCTCATTGAGCCCAACCGAGAAGACGGTGAAGTTGCGTCTGATGAAAACCTGCTCCTCGTCACATTCTAGTCTTCTCTTCGATGTGTCTTGGCTCTTTTTCTACCGATTCTTCGGCTGCTGATGTGTATTCATAATTCTGCTGATTATTATCTGCTGACCACGTCAGGCTACCTTTTTTGATCCCGGAATATGCCCGCTTGTCTGAGCTTAGTGAGGCGGTAAAACTAAATCTAAGTTTTAACGCCTACTCTAAGTTTGGACAAGCGCTTGACAGACGACGAGGACCAAGTTGGACGTTAGGAAAAGGGAGTATCACTTTCTCAACTCTCATCTAACTTGAATTTTTCCAGGAATCACACGGAACAAAACCAACTTCGCTCGCTTCACATCTCCTATCACGCGCTGGTCCGAGCTTACGGCTTTGAGCAAACTATTCAGTAGTTTTGCGCGTAGCCCTAAGTTTGGACGAGCAGTTGATTTTTTTTTGGCAAGAATCTTCAAAATGAAAATCTATCACTGATGCTAAAAAAAGGAAGTTGGATAAAGCTCAAACTGATCATAACTCGATTTTTGTCAGAAAAGCTGGAGCGACATGCCGGAGTCCTTCTCATCTGCAAAACCAGTTTTCCATTCCTGTGGCCACAGTCATACTGGACATTGGAGACATCGAAGACCGCTTGTTTAACATAGATGAAAGAGAGTTCCATTCAATTGAGAATGGTCTTGTTTCAATCTTAATTTTTCAGAGAATACCCGAGAGAACAACCTTCTGATCTTCTTTCATTCATCTCACGCTTCTCAGTGAATTTGGCAGTAACGGAACAGGTTTCAAGATTTCGTATCAACCAAATTTTCCGACAATCTTGTGACTTCTTCACCGATACAAAATGGACAAGCGAATATTGTTTCAATATCAAAAAAAGGTAGTTTCAATCTTTCCAGCTTCATTATAAGTATTTTTCCAGATTCTCGAACTAATGAGTATTCGACATGAAAATGAAAAAAGAAAATTGTTCACTAATTTTTTTCCGAAAGCAAGTATCCCTGGTGCAGCAGCTCCATTTGAAAAGTGAATTCCAAGTTTTGGTTTCAACTTTATTTTCTTGCTTTCAGAGACAAATGCTTCGAAGGAAATAGTTTGAAAAAAAACTGTCTTCGCTCAAAAAACCCATATTGGTTTATCTTTTTCTCTGTATCCATATTTCTGGTTTTACCTGTTTCTCCGGATTTATTGCGGCTTGTGAACCGGATCAAAGGTGCAGAGGACGTTTTAAATCTGGACGAGCAGGTGAAACTGTTTCCTCTAGTCGTCTTTGTCTTCCACTATTCATAGTTCTGCTGACTATCTATATTTCCATGGAGCCACATCGCTTCGGAACAGAAAGGTCAGATTACATCGACTGAAAAACTCTAATAATTTTTTTTATTCATATTTCGTCACGAGGCAACTATTTGGAAGAAGCATTCCCTGACCTTTACTCACCTTCTGGTCCGAGTGTATTGATCAGAGTAAGCTGTTTTTAAGCTTATTTTGCTCATTATACTCAGACGAGACCGTGATTTTTTTTTGGATGATCGACTTTGAAGATGATGTTACGATAATCACTCGAAAAAAAAGGGAGTTCAATACAGTTCGGGCTGATCAAAACTGAATATTTTTCCAGGAATATTGCGGGACAACGACTGGTCAGCACAGAAAAGTCTTTTTACCGAAAGCCTTTCATCTGGTAAAATCATAATAAAAGGAAAGTTTATTCATTCCGTTCGGGTCAAACTTAATTCTTTTTCAGAAACTGGAAACGTGAACAGTTCTCCTCGTTCTTCATCACTTACAACTCACTTTCTTGTCAGAATTCATGGCTCCACAAACAAATTTCTATGTTTCTGGTTACCATGAGTTCCAACAAGCATGTGACTTTTTTTTTTGATGTTCCACTTTGAAGATGATGTTACGATACTCACTCGAAAACAAAAAAAAAGGGAGTTTGATACAGTTCGGTCTGATCAAAACTGAGTCTTTTTCCAGGAATTTGCTGCACAACAACTTGTCAATACAGAAAATGCTTTTTACCGAGAGCCTTTCATTTAGTAAACCAAGCATAAAAGGAAAGTTTATACATTCAAGATAGGTCAAACTCGGTCTTTTTCAGAAACTGGAAACGGAAGCAGTTCACCTCGCTCTTCATCGCCTACAACTCACTTTCTTGTCAGAATTCATGGCTCCAGAAACAAATTCCTATGTTTTTGGTTACCATGAGTTCCAACAAGCGTGTGACTTTTTTTTTGGATGACCGATATTACAACGCTGTTATATCTTCAACACTGATAGAAGAGAGTTTTATTAAGCTGAGTACAATCGAAAATATTTCTATCTTTCAGGTTTAACTTGGAACGAAAACTTGCCATCCAAACTTTCCTTCAAACTTCCTTCACCTGTTGGTCCGAGTGTAGTGCTCGAAAAAAACTTTATTCAAGTTTTTCGACGACCACTATGCTTAGACCAACTCGTGATTTTTTAAAT